AAATATATGGAACAATATTTGGGAAGTTCTTAGAAAAAAAAGATAGCTTTTTGAATGACAACAGTGAAACCTTTGAAGCCCTACACTCTAGCTACCTTATGAAACCCCTCTTAACAGCTATGCATGTGCTGTTGAAGCAAAACCATAGTGCTCGCCTCAAGAGAATGAGGCATAGCGGATTCTGGAGCCAAATAGAGATGCCACGGCCTGAGGACACGGACTTAGATGACACCAAATATCATGGACCAGTGTAGTAACGGCTTCATGCTTTTTTTGTTCTGTAGGAATGGGACAGAAAAAAAGGTATAAATTAAGGAATTTAAAGCCTACATCAGTTGAAATATCAGTTATTTCAGGAATATCAGCAAAGAAGGAACACTTCTGCAACAAGCCTCTGATGTCATCTGATAACAGTCTTAACCTCTGGGATGGTGGAAGCTAAAAAAGATTTTACCTGAAAGTCAAAAGGAACTTATGTCAAACACAGAGTTGTCAATAAATTACAATCGATGTCACTAAAGACAGCCCAATAGACCTATAGCATTCTAGTTCTCTTTTACTAGAGAAGTTCCAGTTATCCTACCAGCCTGCAGAATGTTCAGAGTGGGTGTGGTCCCTTTCCCAGAACTACCTTCAAACCTCCTACATTCTTCCTGTACCCTCGGGCCAGGCTGTTTTCAGGTAGTCATTTCTCTTTGACAATGCAATGCAGGCCTCAGAGGCCGATTATACAAAACCTCCAGCAGTCTGTCCAGCTTCATGTGGTCTCTGACATTGTGCTGGGTTTTCTGGAATCAGCTTGTTGGAGAAACATCTTAAGAAGTTTCTGTCATATCTCTTAGAAACAGTCATTCTGCTTTAACAAAAGATGATACATTGGTACACCATCCTGGCGTTTTTAATACATGAAAATAAGTTTACTGAGTCAGTGGTTATAATGGTAAATACCTAAAAAATGCAGTAGAGTTGCTATGCTTATTGGCTTGATTATGTATTGCCACAGAGGAAATAAAAGCTAAAAAGAAGGGTGATCTAGTTTAAAGGGCTCTCTGTTCAAAAAGTAGGGGGTTTGGTGCTGCCTCTGATTGTGTGTTGTGCAAGTCACTGAGCAACTATGGGGTTCTATTATATTCTGTTAGTAAATTTTCTTATTGTTCTAAGGTTTTCAACTTCCTTTATCATTGCTACTCTCATTAGCCAAGACTCCCACACCCATACATCTGTATCCCTGGAGAGTGCCTTTGATACCACACAAGCTATCAGCACAATGTATGTGACTTTGATTGTGAGTCTATGCTGTGTTCAGAGGATGAAAACAAAGGGTAAGAAGGGTTACTGTGAAGAAAAAGAAAAGGAGGAGTATAATGGAGTCTCTCTGGCTTTTGACTGAAGTTCATAGCTTTTTAATTTGCTTTTTTATCCCCAAGTGCTAAAACACTTAAGTGCATCTCTTGCGTACGTGGGTCATTTCTAATGATATCCCAGAGTACTACTCAGAAAGAAAATAGAACAGAACAGAAAGCACATTGGTATGAAATATTTTCTAGTAACTATATTCAACTGAAAGCATCTCTATACAGACTTTAGAGGGTTTACTTTCCAAGGTCACACAGGAATAGTTGAAAACAAAACCTTTTTCTTCTTTTCTTTTTTCTGTTCTTTTGTTTTTCAAGATAGGGTTTCTCTGTGTAGCCCTGACTGACCTGGAACTCACTCTGTAGATCAGGCTGGCCTCGAACTCACAGAGATCCACCTGCGTCTGTCTCCTTAGTGTTGAGATTAAAGGCATGTGCCACTATCCCCAGTTAAAGCAAAACCTTATGAAAGGATGAGGGACTGCCAGTCAACCCACACGTGCTACACCAGCAATTAAAACTGTTTTTTAAACAAGAGATTCTCTGGACAGGCCTGCTGGCTCTTATGTATAATCCCAGCAATTAGGACACAGGCAAGGGGATAATGACCAGTTAGAGGTCAACCTAGGCTAAATATGTAGCCTTAGGATAACCTGGGCTACAGAGCGAGATCCTATTGTACAAACCAAAATAAATAAATAAATGCATGAATGAATAAATGGGTTTGTCATGTACCCTTACCATTACCTCTTTGTAATATTTTAATGTAATTATTGTTCATGAAATATATTTTACATTATTTTATACATGCCTCACTATGACTACTCTCTATACTGCTACTTCAGAAAAAGAAAAAAAAAGGTAATTTCCTAGCAACATGTGTATTCATAGGACTAGGGACAACAACAACAAAAAAGATTAATTACAAATAGTTTATTTTCCTCCAAGTTGACTTTTAGCTATCGAGGGAAGTTACTGGATAGCAAAGAAAGCATGGCAGAGACCAATGCCCAACAAGAGGTCTTAACAGACCACTTGATCTTTCTTTCCTGGAAATGGATGAGCAGAATGATTAGTTGGGGTTTGCACCGAGAACAGCCTTTTCCAGAGGTAGTAGGCAGTGCTATAGATACAGCCCTGCCCTGTGATGTTTGGTCCATTTGCTTGGACTGGAAAATCGGTCCTGTAACTGGGAGCCAGGATGCTGGGTTCCAAGTGCCTCATCCAGGAACTCCTGTTGGATACACCAACAGGCTCCCTTCTCTGGGTTTGTAACTAAATGGATCACACTCAGAAGAGATAGTTGAAAATATCTTCAACAGCTATAACCCTTACTAATCAAAGCTGTCCCTACCACCTTCCCACCCCAGTTTAATGGCGTTTTCGGAATAGACATCATAGCTTCCCTGGTTCATTTCTGCATCCAAGACAAGCATCATTTAGAAGTTAGGCAGCTGACTTCCTGGAGCCTTCTGGAGGAGAAACATGCTCTAGTGTCCTGCCTTTCGGAGATTTCCTGCCTGTATGTAGGGCCCAGCCCCTGAGTGAAGCGAAGGTGATCTAACCACAGAAGTAGAAGCTCACAGCAAAGAAAACAGCTTCGTTAAGGGGAAGTGGCCTTTTCATTTTTCCTATTTTCAGAAAAACTAAGATTTTTCACGTTCAAGGCGTACACACGAGTCATTTTAAGTCTCTACATCTTTCACCCTGAAAGTCCCTGCACTGAAACTCCGTGGGGAGTCTAAATATAGCTGCACCGAACTCTCCCCGCCTTCAGCCAGGGTCTCCGTGCAGCTCTAGGATTGCAGAGCTTATTCCAGGACGCTCTCCGCATTTGCCTTGAATAGCAGGGAGCGGAGCAATCTCTCTAGCACCTCCACGGTGTGTGGGTGTGAAGTGTATTAGGGGAAAGCAGGAGTGACTCTGGGTGTTGGTGCTCGGCTCACAGTCACGTGGTACGGCTGCCAGCTGCACAGAGCTAGGAGTTAGTAGTGCCTACTGCCCAGAGCCTTTAAGGAAAGCAAGGTCTTGCTGACTCTAAGAGTCAGGGAGGGGTCTTCACAAAGCAACAACGACAAAAGTAAAAGTAAAACTTTCAGCTAACGCTTTGGCTGCAATGAGCAGCTGTCCGTAGGCGTGGGTGTATGCACTGTGTGTGTGGGGAGGGGGTGTTGGTAGAGTATTGTCTGCTAAGGCTGAAACAACCCGAGATAAGATTGTTTTTTGCCTTAGGATTGCTTAAGATTAAAGGAAGTGAAAAGGGCACACGGAATAACCACGTTGCTACAGTCTACCACAGCTTTCTACTGAAAGCATAGCTCAGTTGAGCTTGGTGGTTTGTTTTTTGTTTTTTGTTTTGTTTTTTTTTTTCATATTTGGGAGAAAGGCTGCTCTTTTGGAAGTAGTCCCCAAGCCTGGCGTGCTCTCAGTTTCCCCAACCCAGGCTGAATCTGTTGTTTAATCGCTAACAATGTTTTTGTAAGCCAGCGTTTCCAGCCAGCGGTACCTTGGCTTCACTCTCAGCCAAGAGCGCGGGCTTTGGGGCGCCCATCTGCCAGAGATGGTATGAGACCCAGTCAGTGGTTCCCCTTAACAAGTCTCTAACCTTGGGTGAGAGGCAGGTCTTGGGCTCCCCACCCTCTAGGATTCCTCTCCCACTCATTGGGGACGCCACCGCTGCTGCGGAGACTTAAGCAGTTTTGTGACTTTCTCCCACTTAAATGGAAATTTCTTGATTTTCCCAGGCTTCTCTGTCAGGAGCCGCATGGCAGCTCCCTCACCGCAAAGGAACCGCTCTGGAGTTTTACGCCCTCCCCACACCCCATCCCTGGGGATGGGAAGGATGTTCCGTGACTCTCGGGTATGCTGTCTAAGGCTAGGATGGAAAGTCACAGCCTGCAGGCTGGATTGAGTCGAGGGAAGCTGCCGGGTCCCTGCCTGTGCGTCTCCGGGTGTGTCCATTGAATTGCGGAGGACTGGTCCCCAGCGCGGGAACCCAAGCGCCACTACCCGAAGCGTCGCCCCGCTGGCCCGCTCCAAGGCTAGCCAGCACCTGGAGGGCAGGACCTAGTTGCTTCTGCCCACACCCATTGCGGGAGGATGGCAGGACCAAGCGTGGCATAGCGGCGGGAGAAACCCAGAGAACTGCTGGTCCAGTTTGTTCACGAGGCACAGGGCGGACTTCACTCTCCGGACAGCTCCAAGCCTCAGGAAGAACCCACCCAAACTCCAGCCCAGGAGACGGACTTAGGATCAGGCTGGTGTTCTGCGGGGGAGCAGGATACAGACTGAGCCGACACGGGCTGGGTGTACACGCGTGGGAGCGTGCTTTGGGGGCACCCCACAAGCCCCCGGACCGGCCCGCGGACCCTCGGGGAGGAGGGAGTGGCAGCCGGGGAACTAAGGGAGATCAAGGGACACCTCTCAAAGTGACGCCCCCAACAGGTCCGGATTTGGAATTGGCAAGGGCAGAAATCCGAACCTCCCGGGGCCTGCTCCGCACACCCCACCGCCCCCGCCCGAAGCCCGGGCACTGAGCTCGTCTGCCCCAGGGGCGCCCCGTCGGTTGCGGACTTCCTCCAGCCGACCTGCCCGTGCACATGAGGCCGCTGCCCCCGCCGCAGGCGCCGGCGCCCCCCTTACGGTGCCGGTGGTGATGCCATGCCCCGCCACCACGCGGGAGGAGAGGAGGGCGGTGCCGCCGGGCTCTGGGTGAGGAGCGGCGCGGCGGCGGCGGCGGCGGCGGGTGGGGGGCGCCCGGGCAGCGGCATGAAGGATGTGGAGTCCGGCCGCGGCAGGGTGCTGCTGAACTCGGCGGCCGCCAGGGGCGACGGCCTGCTGCTGCTCGGCACCCGCGCGGCGGCGCTCGGAGGAGGTGGCGGCGGCCTGAGAGAGAGCCGCCGGGGCAAGCAGGGGGCCCGGATGAGCCTGCTGGGGAAGCCGCTCTCTTACACCAGCAGCCAGAGCTGTCGGCGCAACGTCAAGTACCGAAGGGTGCAGAACTATCTGTACAACGTGCTGGAGAGACCCCGAGGCTGGGCGTTCGTCTACCACGCGTTCGTGTGAGTACCCGCCCCCCCCGTGCGCCCCCCAACCAAGCCCACTGTGGGGGGCTTGCGCCTGAACCCCTGGGGTGCACTTGGAACCCGCGCCCTGGCCGGAGGTGCGGAAACGCGCGCGCGGGCGCGCACACACACACATACACACACGTGGTGGTTTTTATTTCTTTGCACGTGTTCGCGACAGAGCCCTCTGGAGCCCTCCATCTCTCTTGTCCCACCTCTCGCACTTGTTCAGATTGAACCAAGTTGCCCTATAGCACCCAAAAAAACTGCCGGTCAGTTCCAGGTACCTGTGTGATTGGAGGCAGAAGCAGGATTTAGACGACTCAGATAATCGGGAGTGATTAGGTCTTGACATACGTAAACTTAACTGAGTGGGGCGCCCAGGAGCTGGGAAACGCTCTGGGAGGATGGGCACCAACCTGAGGCTGGAGAGTGTATAGGAGGGGGGTGGCGGTGTGGGATGGAGAGGAGAGGAGAAGGTGAAGGGTGGGTCCACAGTCAGCCCTGGAGGTCCAGCACAGGAAGCTGCTACATGGTGGAGAGAGAGAGACTAGGTTTTAAGCGCGCCCGCCCGGAAACACGCCTGGCCACCATCACAGCTGTCACCAACGGAAAATCTGTCAGTGCATGTAGTCCTTGCAACAGAAAGGTGGCTTGAGTCTAGGAGTGCTAGCGGGCCATGCAAGCTCTGCTCCACTCAGCTGCAGCAGCAAGTGGGGAACCCTGGGTTCGGGAACCTGGCCCACAGTGCCAAGGCAGAGACTCAAGGGGTCAGTTCTGACGTGGATCAAGCACTGGGTTCAGTTGACATTTATGGCACTGAGACAAAGTGTGGTGTGTGTGTGTGTGTGTGTGTGTGTGTAGGTGTGTGTGTGCGCGCGTACATGTGTTAAGTAAGTCTTGCCATCTAGCAGAGAATGCTTAATGAGAAAATGATTGGAAGCAAATGTTTATTTTTTTCCCTTAGGCGTTAAAAACCTTTCAGTGGCTTTAAAGTTTACTACTGTTTTTCCCACAACGTCCATTCATTCCATCTCCTATTAGAGTTAGGTTTATCTGGACGATTTACAGTCGTCTTTATGCCATTACACCCTGTCTAATTCACTGTTTTTAAAGAACCCTCGTCTTTTTACACCCTCCGCGTCCCTCCCTTCCTTACGTTAAAGCGAAATATATTAGCCTTAGGAGACCTTCAGAGAAAGTTGCAGGCACATGCTGACTGATTCCTTGTTTCTTACTTAGTAAAATATGTTTGGGTCACACAAAAATTCCTTCAGAAATGAAGCATGCCATCCTATACTTATCCCTCTCCTGGAATGAAGAATTGGCACCAACCCAGGAAACTTAAAAAATAATACTAACCGGAGAGAAGGGACTGGTTTTGTAAATAGGCGAACCTGAAATATGACCAGGTAGAACTCAGGAAATTGGTCGTGTCTGCACGCTGGGGCCCTGGTGTCTGGAAATTTTTACGGTTCCAGATTGATGTGAACATGTACGATTAGGTGGACTATTCCCGTCAGCTTTCTATGTTTGCAAGGCACTCACAGGGAATGTTGTTTTGCATCATCATTGCACCCAAACGTATAAGTCCTATCTGTTGTCGATGGAAGAGTCGCACGGATTTAGATGGAATTAATGACAGGAAACACCACTGACACTTGTTAAGCTCATCTCCTTGGGTTGATATGCAATTAATCTAGTACTTAATGAGCCTAATAAATTATTTTGACCTGTCTGAATATACTGAAAAATTTAGCAGTGATGATGCTTAATTTGCAGGAAATGTCCACAGTATGGATGATGATATTTTTAGAACATGCTCAAAATAGTCATGACTTTGAGTTTTAAATATGATGTAATACATTGCATTTTATCTGGGTAAACTGCATGTTATGGATTCAGAGACACAATCACCATTGTTGAACATGTTGATGTCTCCTAAGCATTGTTTATAAACATGAATGAACATTTCTCAAGGTACAATATTTTCTTTTTGATATCTGGTTGTTAAGTCGGTTATTCTGGGCTTCTGGGACTTCTTACACTTCAACAAATGGCTGCTTTAAAAGGTTCTAGTTTTAAGTTAACAGTTTTTGCCTGTTAGCCAGCTTTATCAGTGAATTACGTGGTAAATAGTACATAAATTAAGTGCTTGCCAGCACAGTGTTGCTAATATAAAGTTCTCCATAATGCTTCCAAGAGCCTGCGGCTATAGGGTTGGAGCATTTCAGCTACATAGTGATGCGAGATCCACATTAGCAGGCAATCAGAGTGGACAGAGTCAGCGTCTGGGAAGATGGCACACAATCACTGCAGAGTCCGGGGCAAAGAGGGGTAATCACTACTTATAACTTGAGATGAGGTTTTGAATAGCAGGAATTTACACATTAAATTAATAAAGCAAGGTTACTTTGAGCTGTAAGCCTAATAAGACCTTTACAGGGAACTATAAGAAAATAATTTCTAGGGAGGTGTAACTAACTAATGCCCTGCCTGCCTGGGAATCCTCAAATCTTACTTTAATAACGGTTTTTGTAGCGTATTAAGGTCCATGCCAAGAACAAGTACACTGTGATTAATGAGGCGCTTCAGGGATGAATTTACTTGGTTAGCCCAGTGTTTCCACTGCCAAGAAACGAGAGAACTGTGTTTAATATTATACTTCAGGTAAAGAGAAATTTCTGTTAAAATATGTGAAAATAATTATTATAATGATATTTTAATGGTCTGAATGTGATCTTACGAGTATATATCCCAGATTACTGGTAAGGATGCTGGCAAGAACAGAGGTGATGTGCTTCAAGTGACTTCTTCCTCTGAATTTGTGGGCCTTAGGTGATCCAGGCACTTCCTGCTCTTTTGGAGTCCCCTGGCAGCAGTGTGCTCTGTCTTCAGCTGTGACACAGTTAACTAGATGAGCTCTTAAAATAGGAGATGATTTCTCTGAGTTGTTTGTTTCTTCTAAATTGCCCTTCTTTGGGGGGAAATTTACAAGAATTTTGGTGGTTGCAGGAGTTTGTGATAGGGTCGCTAAGGTAAATTTGTGTCACTATGGCAAACGTGGTCAGTTCTGAGGGCTCTCACCGGAGGCGCTGTGAGATGCATCCATGCCAACATATCTGTCTAGCATCACATTGCACGGTGTCTTCACCTGATTCAGTACTATGGATGAGAATTCATAAATACTTTAAACTAGAATATTCCACGAAAGCTAGGGACCCTGGAGTCATCCTTCCCCTCCCCTGCCCTCAAATGACCATTAAATTTTGCTCATTGGATTAGAAATATTTTTCCAGATATATCTCTTTCTGTCGTTTGCTGCTTTCTCTGCCCTTCCAGTTTCTTCCAAACTATCCTCTACTGGCTGGCCATCTTCCTTCTATTTCCAACCTTGTAGCTGCCACCCAGATACAAGTATTATTAATAAAAACTAAATATGATTATATCATTCATAGACTTCCCCATTTATGCATATTTGAACATTTGAGGAATGTGATGATTTCCAAGTTAATGAGTCAAATCCCTCTGATTTCAAGGAAAAAAGGCGTTTGGGTGAGTGTAAGCCTTTCAACAAGTGTGAAATGATGTCAGTATGATTACAGAAGAGATAAGTCATAAAGCTTCATGCAAAAGAGCAGACAGTACGGCTGAAATCAGAAAAGCCAGCAGTCTTTAAAGGGGAAATTAGACACGGGCCGAGTTTGGACAATTAAATAAGCTATTTCAGGTGTACAGCACAGAGCAAATGAGCGATCTTGACAGAGACAATAACTTTAGTGAAAATGTAGGTTTGTGGATGTGTTGTAACTGTAAGGATCTTAAAGGAAGGGGAACTGTGGTTGGTATGTAAAATCAATAAACAAAAAAGTCTTGCAGGACGAAGCCTTTTTCAAAAAGAAAAGGATAAGGGGGACATGTACCTAATTTTGAGTAGTCTATGATGATGGTCGTGGAACCTTGTCTTTGTCCTATAGACGAAAGTGGTTAATGAATGATGGAAATCAAGAGAATACGTCTTAGTTTGGAAAATGAGTCGGGAGAGGGAATTTAAAATGGAGTTAGGATGATCTGTAATTTTCAGGAGGTAACAATTTTAGAAAATTTCCATTCTTTCCTACTATATATTTTTTTTTCTTATCAAATTCACCCTGAAAATGTCTGTTGGTTCTCCTTGTGCTGGGCTGCTGAAAAAGGGAGAGATGATTGCATAAGGAACTAAGGGAGTAACTCTGGGGATAAAAAGAGATTCACCCAGCAATGTTCCTTTTTCTTCTAAAATTCATTCTTTGAGACTTTTGTATAATATATTTTTATTATACCCACTCCCTATTTCCCCCCTCCACTTTCCTCTCAAATCTCCTCCCACTTTCCCATCTTAACTTCATTATCTTGTTCTTTAATAACCCATGAAGTCCAGTTCATGTTGCCCGTTTGCCACCCGTGTAGAGCTATCCACTGGTATGTGCACAACCTAAGAAGGGGCAAGACCCCTAAACAAAATGTTTCCTCACCTACCGGCCATCAGCTGACAATAGCTCTTCAGTTAGGGTGGGGCCTTGAGAACTCATTGTGATCCATGATGGAACATTATCTGGTTTGATCTTGTACAAGCAACCACCGCTGATGTGAGTTTGTCATGTCTGGAAGGTGCTATGTCATGGTGGAATAGGTTCTCCTAACCCCTGGCCCTTAGAATTTCTGTGTGCCCTCTTACTTGATGGTCCATACCTTTGATGGGTAAGGGGAGAGTTGTGATACCCATCTCCCATTTAGGGCTGAGTACTCCAGTCATTTTGTTTAAAAAAATATTAGAGATACAGAATTGATTGCATGTTTTCACTTATCTGAGGGGCCAATGGAGATGATTCCAGCCTGCGATTTGGGAACTAGAAGTATCATTCAGTAATTTATGTGGCAAACCGTGAAGACTCAAGTTCACAGGAATATAAAATGTTCAAATTTGTTCAAGTAGAATGTCAGATGTGCTTAGTTAT